AGCTTAGGCTCCTCGAACTTGTAGTTCCTCCTGCCTCAGCTTCCTGAGTGCTGGGATTACAGGTATGCGCCACCATGCCCAGTTTAGCCTTCACAGGCACGGTCAGCCTCCAGATCCGGGACTTCCCTTCATCCATCCCCCTTGTCCCCCATGGCTCTGGGCCCTGGTGCTCTCAAGAGTTGGCCAGGTGCTTTGTCCAGATTTTGGGATCTGTGATAACCTAGCAGGACTCTTGCTGCAGCTCTTATGATATCCAGGAGCAGACTTTGAATTTCCCTTCTGGGTTTTTGTTTTTGAGGTGGAGCCTCGCTATATAGTCCCGGCTGGTCTTGAACTTGCAGCCATCTTCCTGCCTCAGCCTCCCAAGGGTTGGGACTAGAGGCATGCACCACCACTCCCAGCTCATCTTCCATCACACAGCTGGGTGGGGGCAGAGCTAGGACGGCTGCTTGCCTCCACCTCCACCCCAGGGCCTTTGGCAGAGTCTGCCCCTCTGGCTGGAACAGTTGCATCTCCAGGCTCTGGTGTCCCATGGGACAGTATCAGTGTTGCTGTGGCAGGAGCACAGGTCCCCAGGAGCTCACCAGGAGGCTCAGCCCAGAAAGGCTGTCCCGAGAGCAGGGACACAGCTCATGCACACCCATGCCAGGCTGTGTTTGTGCTGCGGGCCCAGTGCAGAGGACAGCAGCCCTTGGGGACAGCAGGCAGGCAAGGTGGCTTGGAGGTGCAGCTGGCCCCAAGGGGCCTTGGGGGAATGGGGTCGCAGCACAGCCTCGGGATGTGGGAGGGAGCCCGGGGTCCCAGTGACTTGGGTCTGTGAAGTTGGCCCTGGAGTTCTGCAGAAACTTCTCCTGGGGGTCTGCAAAAGCTAGCTTGGCCTCTAGGCAGGCCTGTGTTACCAGTCCCTGGTTGTGGCCTCGCAGGCCCGGCCACGTCCCCAGCCTGCAGCCTGGCTGCCACCTCAGAGCTTGGGGCTCCAGCACCACAGCCCAGCAGGTGGCACTGCCCACGCTTGGCTCCACCCCAGCCCGACCCTCACCATTCCTCGGTTGCGCAAATTGCTGGTGAGCATCACTGGCCTGCACGTGTGGAAACGATGGCAGAATTGTGGCAGAACCTGTTGTGCCAACTGCGGCCTCCCTGCTCACGTAAGAGCCCAGAAATAGATCCTGGGAACCAGCCATGGTGGGGCCGTCCCGGCCTCGGCCCGCCTCCTTCCCAGCGCCCTTGGGCAGGGACAGGACAGGCGCATCCCCTCTGAGGGGCATGAATGGTGCTGCCTGCAGCCAGCTTGGCAGTGGCTTTGCGGGACGCTGGTGTTGCAGCTTTGCTGCTTCGGGCACAGCCGTCGCCAGGTGTCAGCCTGTGTTCAGCGTGCAGGGCGATGATCACGGAGGCCGACACACCGGCCTCTCAGGGAGGACTCGCTGAGCCCGCTCTGCCCTTAGCCGACTGAGAGCAGCACAGTGTGCACCCTCTGTGGCTCCTCTTCCTTGGGTCTCTGAGCCGCTGGCTCCAGGTCAGGGTGCTTGGGAGTGGCGGGCAGGTCTGTACACAGGGCCACCCCAGGGCTGCCCAGGGAGCACTGGGCACCGCCCCCTGCTGGACTCCGAGGCCGGACATTGGGCAGGAGTGTGGTCAGCTTCGTTCTCTGCCTGTGTGTACGGGTGCTGCCCTTGGCCTGGGTACCCTGGCTTTAGCCCAGAGCAGGGCTGGCTGAGGTCCTGGGGCCCGCCTTCCTCTGGTTGTGCTGGCCCTGGAATCTGTCTGGGAGCCCTAATCTAATGAGGCCCTTGTGTAGAGGCCAGCTGGATGGACAGGAGGGGCGCTACCGCTCTGCTGTGCCCGGGGCTCGCACAGGGGCCTGTGGGCCGTCCTGGTGGATAGAGCTGCAGCCCCAGCCACTCCACCATGCAGTTAGGGTCAGCACCAGGGCAGGGAGGCTGTGGCTGGAGGCTTCTGCAGCTGAGGTGGGAGAGGGTGGGAGCCTTGCCCCCCGAGTGGCCCCCTCCTAGACTTTGAGCATTTTTCTGCCCAGTGTCCAGCTTGCCCCCTTGGAGAGCCATGCCTCTATGCAGCCTCCTTCCTCCTGAGCTTACCCAGCTTTCCCAGTTGGCCAGGAGACCAAGAGTGTCCCCCTGTCGCCGCACCTGCTCCCCTGCCAGGTGCTCAGTTTGATGGCAGCTGCTGCCCCCTGCTCTGCTTGTGCCAAGTGGGCAGAGGGCACTGATCCCCAGAGTGCACCGGCTAGCCAGGCCCTTGGTTTTGTGCATAGCAGGCGACATTCTGGGGACTCCAGGCCACCCTCTTCCTTCTCGAGTCCAGTCATACAGTCTCAGCCCCTTCTGGTCTGGGCAGAGCCCTGGCATGCTTGGGGCTGCTGCAAATTAAATCCTCCCCTGCCTGCCTCCCACCTGCTGTCCTCCTGATGCTTGGGGGTCCCACACGGCACAGGCCCAGGCAGCTCAGGGCAGTGGCTGAGGAAGATCCTGTGTCGAGCCATGTGTGGGGGAAGGCAGCTCTCTGGCCTGGGTTCCCAGGGTTATCTGCTGGGAGCCAGGAGCACTTGCACCTCTGCCCTTCCCTGAGCAAGTGGCTGGCATGCACTTCCTGCATCCCAGGCGGCACTGTGAGAGCAGCAGGGTGCAGCCGTCGCTTGGCTAAGGGACCAGAGCGCCAGGGCCAAGCCAGCCTTGCCCAGGGACAGAGCCCTGCTGCTGTGTTTCACCTGGAGGAGGGCTGCTTCCTGGAAGGCTGTGGGCCAGGACTGGGTGTGTGTGTGTGAGCATATAAATGAGACACCACCCTCCTTGCCACATGTGGCCACTCCTGCAGATGTGCCTCTGGCCTGGTGGCCTCAGCGTCGTCAGCAGGGCTGATGGGAAACCACTGAGGAATGTGCCTGCAGCCTTGGGGAGCAGTGGCTGCTGGAGGCGGGCACCACTCAGGCTGCGTGCGCACGCGCGTGTGCGTACACACACACACACACACACGTGTGCGCGCACGCGCGCCCACCTGGGGTTCCTCAGCCCCGCCCTGCCTGGATGACACGCAGGATTGGGGGTCCTGTGTGCTTTTCCACCGCGTGGCACCGGAACCGTTCCTGCTCCTGCCGGCTTCCTGGGCTGGTGGAGGAAAGAGGGGCTTGGCTTTGGGAAAAAGTGGAAAAGAAATCAGATGGGCTGGTCCTGCCTTCTCACTTCCTCTCCCAGGCAGGCTTCCTGCCTGCCCTTCCTGCTGGGCTGGGCTTGGGCTCCCTGCTGGTGAAGTGTTTGCCCCGTCACCGTAGCAACCACGGGGCAGTGCTGCAAGTGATGTTCAGTGAGCAGGGGACAGTGCTTGGGGCTCAGGAGGTCCAGGCCCGGCCCCCATGAGTCCATCGGGCCCGAACCACCTATGCCCGCTGTTCACCTTGCCGGGCTCAGGTCCTGATCCCTGAGACCCCTGCCAGCCCCTGGCTCCCAGTACAGCAGGACGGGGCTGAGGGCCACCTCCTCGCCCCGCTTCCTGTCCCCTCCCCCTGCACAGCTGCTGTTTGGCTCACTCTATATATAGCGGCGTGTTCAGGGTAATTACAATAAAACTGTTGAAAAGAGATAATCTGGCAGAGGAAGCCAGGCTGGCTCCCGGCCCCCTGGGTCCCCACTCACCCATCTCTCTGCCACCCCCTCCTGCCTCTGCCCCGACAGTCGAGGTGGAGAGGGCGGGGCGAGCAGACGGTGTTCCCAGCTCTGGAGCCAGCCTCTGTGTGTCAGTTTCTCCTGTGGTGCAGGCCTTGGCAGGGGTGTGGAGCTGCGAGCAGGAGAGGCACAGGAAAGTGAGAGAGGGTCAGGGTTTGGATTCAGGGCCTGGTTCTTCAGTCTCAAGTCCTCTTGGGCTCAGTTTCCTCATCTGGAAAGGGGGCGGTAACAGCACCCAGACCGGTAACTGTGTGCCCAGGCTTTGGTGGTGACCCTGGTGGTGGCCACACTGTGCCGAGGACACACCGTCTGCCAGCTGCTGCACTTCCCTCCTCCTCAGCTTTCTTCTCATTCTCCACCTCTTTTAAGACGGGGTCTGTGTAGCCCAGGCTGGCCTTGACCTTACGGTCATCCTCCTGCTGCGGCCTCCCAAGTGCTGGGGATGGAGCTCAGGGCTCCGCGCTTGCTGGGCAGTGCTGTGCCCGCCCCGTGTGTGCCTCCCTCCTCCAGTCCCGGCTGCAGTCTCTTATCCAGGTGGACGGCAGTGCCCATCAGGCGCGACGCCTGTGCTGTGCTCTGGGCCTGATTGTCCTGCCCAGTGCCCACGGAGCACCCTCTTGTGCCCACAGTGGAGGTGAAGCCGGCAATGCCCGGGGCCATGCCCAGTGCCGTGGGCCCCGGGGTGCGGCAGGGGGCGCC